AAGTACTCGGAGAAAACCTGCCTCAGAGCCACTTTGTCCACCACAAATCCCACTTGACCAGACCCAAGCTCGAACCCGGGCCGCCGCGGTGGAAAGCCAGCGACTAACCGCTTGAGCTATGGCGCGGCCTACCGACTAAGTAAGTAAGTAATATAAAGTAAACAAGTTAAAATACATCATAGATGTCGAAAATATTTAACTGTTCGCATGTTTCCTTACTGAAATGGAATAAAAACAAATCAGGCTACGCTTTTGTTTGAATCAACATAAACTTTAAATTTAACCATTGTCACGTTCGAAAACGAGAAGACGATATTGCTTAAACATAACAAGAAAGTGTTACTGCGGAAACAAATGAATGACCATAAAGATGGCTCTTCCCAGGCAATTCGTTGTTTCAGAACATTAATTTATATCCATAAATATATTATTGGACTGCTACTACCAACTTAAATGTTACAGGAATATACTTTTTTTTTCAAATAAACCATTTATTTATGAAGAAAGTCGTCTTCTGGGTTTTGGCGCCGTGTATTCTTCGTTTTGGCCGACGTTTCGGAGGAACAGCTACTGCTCTCTGCATTCACAAGCCATTCACCTGCTCTGAAGATGGAGGCGATACGTTCCTCCGAAACGTCGGCCAAAACGAAGAATACACGGCGCCAAAACCCAGAAAACGACTTTCTTCATAGTCATCGCCGTGAAAACCTCAAAACTTACATTTATTTATGGTTTAATTATATCGCTCGAGACAATACAGCGTAGAATCGAAAGATTCACGAATAACGAATTGGAAAGGAATTTACCTGGAAGAACTGACGAAACCCATAGAATCCTGCTCAGAATATTCGATATCCCTACCAAGATTCGAAACAGGGTACTCCGGAATATAAATAAGAACCATTACCCATTGAGCTAACTCGCCTGGTTAAACAGAGTATTCTCCTTTGATTATTATTTACATCTTCATTTTCAGATTGTGATAGCTGGTCGCATATTGAGGTAGAGCAACACTCACTTGTTACGTTTATTACCACAATTCTAATCCTGAAGAAACAGTAACGTCGTACCACTTTTCCAGCTCCCGCAAAACTTCTCTCTTTCGCTAATGCCACTGAAATCTTCGGTCCTGTAACTACAAAGAATGTGTTCCCATAACTCATTCTAACTGGTTTAACCATATACATCCGACTGTCGTTAGGATGTGTCGGCTTCATGTTGCCACGCTTCTTTGTGTCCGTTCTGTGTCATCTTAGTAATACGTGCAACCCAAAACGTCTGAATTATCTTACCATCTTTTTATTCCCCTTTCACAGTCATTTTAACTAACACATTCAAAATAAAATGAACATGTATTCCTGTAGGATTATTTAATTAGTTTCGGGTATAAAAACATTTTCCAAGAAACCTGTTCATTAAAGAGCAATTCAACACAAGTTACAAGCCCCTTGGAAGACACATGATAATACATTTTACCGGTTCCTCAACATCTGCTAGTAAAGGTTTATGTGTTAAGCTTCATCTTAGAAATAATTACCCTTCGCCTACTATGATCTCCATTACTAAGAGGTCATTAGTCAGGGGTCGCCTTAATATTCGATAGAGTACCGGCAAATGTTGGAGCATTATAATATGCTCTTCTGTCTTCCTTCCACACAAGCTCTGCCGGTCAAATTCCGTCCGAACTGAGAGTAATGGCAACTGAAGTCACGGGGCCATGTCCTGGTGACGTCAGTTTCCTCTACGCAGTGGCGGACTAACACATATGCGCTTATGTAATGGTAACCATGTTAAATGTTGCAAACTCAAAACGTGAAGTTAATTTTCTTTTCATTCTGTTTGTTCCTTCTGTACTTGCAAGTTTCACACATTCTGAGCGAGGTACATGAAAATTGCGACTGATTTCTGGATGCTTGTGAATTATATACAGGATATAAAAAGGACTATACCGGAATTCATATTCAAAATATTCAACTCCGATCTGTAAAGATCATCTGTAAGTTATGTATACTCCCTGACAACTTCGCAGAGTCATTGACTAGGAAATCACCAGACACGATTCGATCTCAAACATGAGTTACTGACCAATAATATGGTGATGACATAAATACATTCTCCTCCACCTTTCCCGTACAGCTATTTTTTTGTGGAGAATAAATAAAACTTGGTTAAAGACCTCCACAGCTTAGTCGGTATGGCGAGTGGCTACGGACTGGACGACCGAGGGGTCGGAGTTCAAGTCCCGGTAGGGGCATGAATTTTCTCTTCTCTGTGTCGTCCAGACCGGCACTGGGGTCCACGCAACCTCCTATACAGTGGGTATCGAGAATTCATTCGCCGGGAGTAAAGCGGCAGGGGCGTGAAGCTGACCACTCACTGGAGGTGAGGTCAAGAAAATGTGGATCTATACATCCACTCCCCCATATGCCTTCATGGCGTACTGCCTAGTTAACCCATTTTAATAGTATCCTCCCATTTAAGCGTAGGTTTTCCAGTTTGCATTTTCCCTTCTTCGTTTTCGACACATATTTCTCATGCATGCACTGCCCATCTCATTCTTCTTCGAACACCGTCTTCTGGGATGTGGCGCCGTGAAGATACTGTACAAACCGACGTTTCGGAGGAACATATCGCCTCCATATTCAGGATAGAAGAGAAAAAGAAAAACCCGAGTGGGGGAACCAGCGTGAACAGGTGGCTGCTTCGTGCTGGTTCCTCACTCGCGGATTTTTCTTCTACCTTGAAGATGGAGGCGATACGCTCCTCCGAAACGTCGGTTTATACAATACCTCAAATCTTACATCATTCCTCTTCATTTGATCACTGTAATAACATTTGGCAAAGAGCATAAATTGTGAAGCTCCTCATTATACAGTTTTCACTGTCATCCTATCGCTTCGTCTCTCTTAGGTCCAAATATTCTCTTCAATTTCCTGTTCTAAAACACCCTTCAACTGTCGTTAATTATTAAGAAACTAAACCGTGTGCCAACCTCCAGTCCAACCCTGGATTCGAACTGTCATGGCCACAGTGCCCTTCATTTCCTGCAGCTCCAAAGTAGAGAGGGCTAATTAAATGGGCACATAGCAACACCAGCAACACCAACAATGTAATGCGACATTGATTCGCCTCCCACTACGAGTATATTCTTCAGGCTCATAAAATAAATCAAACAGGAACGACACCAGAGAGTACCAGGCGGCTTCAGGTACTGACCACGATCATTCTCATCACTGACAATGATTGTGACCGAAAGTGAAAACTGGTTCCAGGCTTCCTTTCCTTTTTACGTTTCGCAGTATGTGTAATTCGACTTCTACTTGAAGCGACTTAACGCTTTGGACAACATGAACGACTTATCTTTCCGGCGTCTTTTTAACTTCTTTGTTCTTGGCAATGTCAGTCTTCTAACACATTTAGGGAGTTCCCGCGAAATGAGTTCCTCTTATCACTGGTACGCCTAACTGGGCCTATAAACTGCCGTGAACATGTAGAAACATACGAAGACATTTAATTTCTACATCAAACTCAGCATGAAAAGGGTTGGGGGCTGGTGGAATTCTTGTATGACTTGACGTCAGCGCGAGATCCCTACGAGACAACGGTAGCAAGAGACCTCATGCGAGCTGATGTTAGTACGAGTTACGGCTGGCATGAAATCTGGTATAAGTTGTCACTGGCAGGTGATATGATACAAGCTAAGGTTGGAAAATAATCTGGCAGGGGGGAGGGTCAATGAGATTTCATACGAGATGACGCTACCACGCGATCTCGTACGAATTGGGGCAAATATGAGACATCTGATGGGATGGCGCTGGCATGAGATCTATGGGAAACTGCATTGCGTGTTCACTTCTAACATCTAATATTCGAGCTGCAACTCGAATCCAGTGGCTTATGGTGCCCTACTTTATAAGCGTGCGAAAAGTTTGCCAGTGGCATTTGGGGAGCCATTGCAGCCCCACTCCCAGAAAAAATTGGATCTATTGGTATGTTATCTACAGATTTCTTTCCTAAATTTCTCTACCAAGGACAGATAATTGGCTTATGAGATCACCATATTGTGCGTTCCCTTTTGAACTTCAGAACCAGCCGACCAATTTTAACGAAAAACTTTGGCAATTACTGATCAATCGTCTGCAGAAAGGTAAGACTTAAATATCAAGTCCTGAATGTCTTGAAACTCAATTAATCTTACATCTACAGGCTATTAAGGGAGAGAGTATGCTCTATGAGGTCAGGGACAAACAACTGGGATTTGTCCTTTTTCAACTCCATCATTCAAGGTTGAAATTTCTTGCAGCCCCACAAACACTATACACTTTTCTGTTCAAACACTGGTATGGCTGTTGCATAGCAGCACTAGCACCGGGTATAATTCCATTAGTGGAGTGTCATAACTTAGGCGGTAGGTCGCCTGCTTCTCATCGTGGGGCCCTGGGTCAATCTCAGGGCAGTCCATGGGGTATTTGTGGTGGACGAAGTGGCACCAGGGCAGGTTTATCTCTGAGAACTTCGGTTTCCACTGCCAATTCCACTCCACCGACGCTCCATTATCTCATGCATGATCCTGAGCTGGTGCACTGGGCCTACTTGCAGTGTATGTACGTGTATATGACGCGTCAGTTCCACCAACCGCAAGAACAAAGGAAAACTACGCAGCCTCAGCACCAACAGACTGAAGTCTCCACTTGTCAGAATCGTCTTCAGTGCTCACAAACCGCGTATCACTCGAAAGGCGATCGCGAGCGAACGAAAAGATATCGTTATTGCCGCCACTCGCGAGGGCGACCTGATACGAGGCAGCTCTCTAATGAAGCAAGGACTTCAGATTGAAACATGATAAAATCAGACACGGGAAATGTATGATTTTGGGGTGCCGACCAAACATTTTGTACATCAAGTAAGAAGAAAATAAATTTCACTCTTAGCACGATATTCATAATTGGCCGAGAAAGCCAGTAATTTATATCTATAGGCTGGGATGCATGGTAGTATACCTGTTCACAGTAAGCGGGCGATGAGGTACGGAGTTCGACCCTGGGATGGTGAGCGGCACAGCGGAGCGAGCCTCCACGCACACAGCGGTGCGCACAATGAGCTCTCGACATGCGCGCTGCAGACCTCGCAGCTCACTCTCCGTCTGTTCGATGCGCTGTAACAATGACAGAGGTGCCACTTCACTGTTGCAGAACGGTAAAACTCGATATGACGAACTGTCTACTGCAATATCTCTACAGGATTTCGTGAATGTCAGCAAGTTCGCCTGTATTACACGTAAATGGAAATAATGGGCAGACAAACAAATCCACCATAAAAGCTGCTTTGCTGCGCGTGAGTGGAAGAACAATTTTAGCCATTTTAATGATTTTCTCAGGCCGCGCCATAGCTCAGGCGGTTAGTCGCCGCCTTCCCACCGCGGCGGCCCGGGTTCGAGCTCATGTCAAGTCATGTGGGACTTGTGGTGGACAAAGCGGCACTTGGGCAGGTTTTCTCTGATTACTTCAGTTTTCCCTGCCAATTCTCATTCCATCAACTGCTCCACACTTATCATCTATAGGCCAGTTAGTGGCCGACGTACAAAATGGATTCTCACCCCCACCCCAAGAAAAAAAAAGAACTACAGATTTTCTTAAAATCAAAACCAGACATAGATTGCACTTCCCACAGTGGCGGCCCGGATTTGATACCAGGTAAGGTTTTCTGGACTTGCGGTGGACAAAGTGGCATTGGGGCAGGCTTTTTCCAAGTACTTCTGTTTCCTCTCCCTGTTCTCATTCCACCAACTGCTCTTTATTCATTAATTATCCTATCAGCGACGCTACATATTTGACCGCGTCGTTAAATATGAACTTAAAATAATTATCCAATCGCGTTCCTCGTTACACAGATGCTTCATTGACTGACTTTGCAGATGCAACTGGGCCCTTGCACAGTTAAAGATATGACACAAAACCTAAAATTATTTTTCTCTGACAAAAGTTACTGAAAGTCCAAACATTAAGTCCTGTCTGTATCTAGGAAGACCAGAAGCAGTAAGTGTATGTAACCGTGATAACTAGTGCTTAGCAGGAAAAGTATTAGAAGGACATTTCTGACACCAACCTTGGCCATATTGACTAGAGCTTCACTGCCAGGCGCAAGCACGGCCTCCAGGTGACGTGCCAGGCGCCGGAGAGCTGCAAGGCGGCGCTCTCTCTCGCTGAGTTCCTGTTCCGAGCCCGAATCGGAGATCCCACTGTCAGACAGGGAGCCCTCGGTGCTCTGGGGGGATGTGCTCGTGGACACCTGAGTTGTGGTGCTTGCGTGTCCAAGAATCATGGGACCCTGCGGAAACAAAAGGATAGAGTCAATATTTCTGTATTTATGCAGAAATTAACTTGAACTATACGCGACAGTCACACGTCGTAACAAAATATCGCCATCGTATCTCTCATTTACTGAAAATGGAAGGAGAAATATGAAGTTGTGGAACGAACTTACCGCCTTTCATTTTAAACGAGACAGACCGTACAGAAAATGACGCGTCCAACAATTCTTCCACTGCTGCGTGTGTATTTGTTGCCGCGGTAACGCTTTTACCGGGCCGTTGCCTAACAACGATAGAGGGTTATACAACGTACACACAGAGAGACAGACTGATGGGGGAGATGTATGAAGTATGCTGTTGAGATTGGTTCAGATGCCATGATATACATACATAACCAAGCTTCATAAAGACTGGTTCAGGCATTCAAAAGTTAACGGGGTGGAGGGATACAGAGAAACCCAGAAAGTATGGTGATATCTTAAGCCTACTTTCATTTTTTTTTTCGAAGTATGGAAAGTAGGCTAAAAATCAGCTAACCAACCAACTAGCAAAACAGGCATTATCCACTGTCCTGAATAATGTCAGAAACACAGTAATTGTAACAATATGCCATAGTCACAAATTTTTAAGATCACATTTAGTTCCACAGGGGCGAGTCTTGGGAAGCTGACAGACTTTCCCAATCTTAAGAAAGAGATGTGAACTGAATTCGACTGGTTCAGAATCGGATTCAGGGCAGGATTTTGTGAGCAATGTAATGAACCGCTTCACTCCATGAAGGGCGGGAATTTTGTGGACTGAGTGACAATTAGATGTATAATTATTCTGCTGGTTAATGACATCTGACGGAGAATGCGAATTATAAAGCTGCCCATTATGTACCATTTTCCACACCTCTTATTTCCTGCTTCCAAATAACACAGGACTATTCTCCCAGAACTCGGTTTGGTGTGCAACACACAAGGCCGGAATTAGTTGTGTGTGTGT